CTCTGCTTTTTATTTATAATCATAGCTTGCGCTTGCCCAAGCTGTGCTCCATTCTTCAAGACTAAATAACAAGATCTGAAGACTGTTAGACCTTCAGCTTGTTCTTCTCTTCTATCTCCATTCTGCCCGTTCATTTTTTTGTGCTTTTGATAGAGGCTGGCACCTTGATTTCTTTTCCCTCTGCTATGAAAAAAAAAAATACTCTGACAAAAACAACTTAAGGGGAAAAGGGTTTAGCTCACAGTTCAAAGTACAGTCCATCCATCAAGATGTGGAAGTCAGGGCAGCAGGAGCTTGTAGCACCTGGTCATATCACAGCCACAAATAGCGAGCAGACAATCAATGCATGCTTCTGCTCAGTTACTTCCCTTTCTCTGCTTATATAGGACCTCAGGGAGGGAGGGAATGGTGCTGCCCACTGGGAGAGTCTTCCAACATCAATGAAAATAATCAGTGTAATCCTACATAGGTAAACTCAGAGGACCATCTCATAGGTGATGCTAGGTCCATTTTCTTCTTCTGGCTAAGATAAAAAAGGATATCCTTGAGGGCATGTGCAGACAGCTGATAAAGATACATTCCCAGTTCCTTATGGAATCTGGGCCTGAATTCATTAGTTACATAACGGTGCATGGATAACATTCATATAATATTCAGAACTTACTCTCTGACTCAGTATTGTTTTCACACTAGACTCAGAAATAGTGTTAATAGTCGGCTTGGCAATTAGGAGTAACCATCGCAATGGGTTTCTAGCGGCGCCTGACAAAGCTACCCAGCAGCCTCCCCACATCTTCCATTTAGGAGAACTGCAAGCAAGAAAGGCCATTCTCACCAGCTGGGTGCCCACTCTGGGCCAGGCATATATGATAGTATGACAAAGTCATTCAAACGTTGGCTGCCTATAAATGCTTGGAACAGTGCTCCACCGATGAAAGTTTCTCATTAGGTCCACCTTGCCCCTTGCACTTAAGAGATGTCAAGGAAGCAGACGTCAGGGTGCCCTTTGCCTGTGCTGTTTCCCTGTTAAGCTCTGCCAGTCTCATGCGACACTTTCCCCTCGAGGCAAGGCAGGATTCTCTGAGCTGGAGAAGTAAAGGCTTATTAGGATTCTGCATGTGTGCCCTGGGACCTGCGTCCCGCATGCTCCCGTTCTGTCCTTGCATTGTTAGCACAAACACTTATCCACAGCTGACAAGAGACATCAAACTACCGTAGGCAATCGCATTTCCAGAGCAGTAGATAATGAAACTGGAAAGACTTGGCCTTGCCCCTTGCCTCGCTCAGAAAGGAGATTAGTAGAATAGTGCTTTCCCTCCCCAATAATGAGGTAAGAAAGTTTGGTCTTATACTATTTGACCCTTCCTCCACCCCAACCATGAATTCTGAATTAAAAAAAAAAAAATGCTCCTTTACTTCATGATCTTATGTAAGTTTGAATTATATTTCCACTTAATTAAACTCGCTTTTGTCTTTGAAACTTTGCATTAAAAAGAATACACAGATGTCATGTAGAGAGATCCCACTAATCTATTATATCAGTCAAACAACTGCAGGCTGCCCCCCCCGGGTGAACATTGTTGCAATTATGATCAAAATCTTTCTTGTCTTTCTTCAAATGAAATTTTAAAACCCGGGTCAGTATAAAAGTGCAGGCTCCGAAAGCAGCTAAGAAAATATCTTCTCAAAGTGGAGGTGGACATTTGAACTTATGACTAATTGCAAGAAAAGACCCACTGAACCAATATAGATTTGCCTAAATTAGGCAAAATACTGCATTGTTCCAATAGTGTTCATCTTCACTTAGCTACTTAATTTTCTTCTGCTGGCTAACACCGAAAAGGACATCCTTGAGGGCAGACAGCCGACAAAGATGCATTCCCAGTCTGAATTCATTAGTTAAATTCAGGATGCATACATAGCATTCAGGACCCACTCCGTAAGTATTGATTTCATACTAGATTTAGAAATACGTAGAAAGAGCAAACAGGAACTTCTGAGATGTCGAAGGGCATATAGGAAAGGGAAGTAGAAAGCAATCTAGAAGCCATTGCTTCCTGTGGATTACAGGAAGCCCATGAAAGTCCTGCTCACTGGTTGAAATGTCAGCAGCGACTCATCAACAAAAATAGGAAGAAAACAAAGTTATTTGAAGCTTCTGCTTTAGAAGGCAGCGCCCACATTTCCCCTTCCCCTCAGCATGATGGATGGAGTTCACTGTCTCCATTCCTGAAGGTTCCAGATTCATTCACTCGGCTTGCATTCAGTGAGGACCCTTGATGGGCTGTGTATATTCCAAGAGAGTTTTATGCTCCTCTGTGGTTGTGCAGGCACCCCGAATCACTTGACCCACGGGAGGCAGTGTGGCCTACACAAAAGGTGATCCTCACTCCAGGCTTACTCTCATGAAATAATACTCCCTACCCCCTGGGAGGTTTACAATGAAAAAGAGTGATCCCAGGGAATCGCAGTCTACAGGGAGTGCCTTTGTCTGCCCAGCTTTCCGCTGTGTGCTCAGGCAAGCCTGCGTGGCTTTGGTAGGCTCCACCCTCCATCTCTAGCTTCGTAGCGTTGCCTCGGCCATCTTCGCAGCTGCCTTCCCTCGCAACCTATCACTGTGGGCAACAGGAGCAAATGTTTATGCCTGCCCACCCAGATCTACTGCTTCCCGCTTCCCTTCTGGTTTCCTGATTGGTTGACTTCCGTCCACCGTTCACAACATGCTCCCGAGAGGACACCATTTCTTGCCTGGTTCCTGGAACTGAGTGTAAAAGTCCATCTTCTTGAAGTGTTCCCAACACCTTGCCAGCCACTGAGTGGACAGTATATCTTATCTGTGGCATCTACTTACAAAAGACATGAAGGACAAAAGAGATTAAAAGGAGTCGGACCCATTGGATCAAGCCCATCTTGGAAACTAGCGTTCTTCTGGACTTCCTGATATGTGAAGCAAGAAGTTCATTTGTGCCAATGTGATTGAGGTTCTTTTGTCATTGAAGTGGTTCAAAGGATATAACCATTTTAAATACAAAGACCCCATGCCTGTCTAGGAACCCTCTGAAACCTTATTGGAATCTGTCTCCAAGAAGTGCTTGCCACATTTTGCCCAGCCTCCTTGAAAGACATTTGCTATTGCAAAGGATTTGTGGATTATGTAGATGAGGGGTGTTTAAAGAAATCGGCTGTCAAATTCCATGTGCACCCCTCATCTGTATAGCTAACCCCAGAAATCTCTTGCAGCAGCAAATCTACACATTTCCTTTTTTTTTTTTTCCTGGTTCATTACTCCAATTGTCATTGAATATTTTTAAACCAACATATTTCCTATTTTCTTGATCATTAAAGACAAATTAACCTGAAGGCCACATCATTATGAAATGGATTTTTATTTTTAAAAACTCATGTGACAGACTCCAATGACTGGATTTACTTTTTGAATTCTAGCTTTCAGAGTACATTGGAAAAGACCACGGAGTCGTAGGCGCAGAAAGCTGGGCTGGTGGGATGGCTCATAGGTTAAACCTGATGATATGAGTTCAATGCTGGAACACTGGTTGAGGGAAAAACAAACAAATAAACAAAAAAACAAAACTCCTGTAAATTAAATTGCCCTCTGACCTCTCCATAACATATGTTCTGTAGAATGTACATATGCACACACACACACACACACACACACACACACACAGAGAGAGAGAGAGAGAGAGAGAGATTTTTTCACTAATCTAGACTCCAGAAACAAAATCAGAAGAAAAATTTAATTCCACTAATGATTATATTCTTACTAGACAATATGTCAGTTGCATGGCAAAAAAGAAAAACCCACTGGGGAATAAAAAGACACTAAAGATGCTATTTAAATGTTCCAAAGGAAGCCATACAGAATACCAAATAAATAGAAGCTATAGACACACAAATACCTCAAGGTACTGACTGAAAAGTGGGATGAATCATCCTTATCAGGCTTCAAAACTGATGCTTCCAGGTGAGTCTGGGGTTGAGGTAGATGGGTCAGATAAAGTAACCGGCCACTCCTTGTTTCATGGGAAGCTGAATAGTCTCCCTTAAGATAAGTCACTCCCAAAGCATCAGGATAAAGAGACCAATACAGCCTGTGGCTGACATCAGCATATAACCACCATCGGAATGAAGTAACTGGAACAACCAATCAAGACAGAGAAGGCAAACCCACTGGTGCTGAAGTCAAAAGAAGTATAAAGCAAATTACTGCCCAGACTGAGTGTTCACCATTCACACCATGGACCCTGCAAAAAATACAGCTTTCTCTTCAGTCAACTTGTAACTTATTATAGGTTAGGGCTCAGAAGGTTTGTCCTGGACAGGAATCTTGCCAAAGACCACACCATCTCTTTGTACCCAGCTATCCTGGATTGAGGGCAGACAACCAGATACAGAAGCAAAGCGTAACTATGTTCTAATAAAATTGTATTAACAACACTAGGTAGTGGGATGGATTGGACTTATGACACAGTTAACCAACCTATGTCACAAGCAAAGACAGCATCACTGCTGGGTTCTAACAGAGAAACCAGCACTCTAATGGCCCATGTTTAGAGGGGAGGAGTTCCTTTTTGACACATAAAAGAGCAGAAGTGGGAGGGAAAGACATGGGAGTCTAGAAGCAGCAAAGAGACATTCACTTGACATTCTGAAATTGTGCTATAAAAGGGAAAGAGGGGGCACTGGGACGAGACATTTCATTGCATATTTAGAGTTTTTCTGCTGGTCTTGACTGGCATTCAGAGAAGAGCAGGTGATTGGAGTGGAGATGACAACTCTTTTCAATTTCTTGAGAGTCTCAGTAGGCTGTGGCTAAGGACGGACATGTCACAGTGACATCCGTCTGTCTCCCCTGGTCAGGGAAGTGGCCTGACTTTCTCAATGTGCTCTTTGTATTTAGCCTCCGTGAGGAGTCTCTCCCCTTTCACCCCTGCCCTACCCTGTGAAAAAGGAAAAGCAGAGAAACAAAAAAATAAGCCACACTGGCATAAAATTTTATTCTTTCTGACAACATGTATCATCCACGGTGCCTGGAAACACAGGTGTAGTAACACTGGTAAATGTGCTTCATCGGAGGCCTCCACATGGTCAAGAAACACACAGCATGCGTTGTGCTACATAACCCAAATTTTTACACCCCACCCCCAACCACCTCATAGTGGGCAAATGGATTCCGAGGATTCCAACTGGAAATTTCCCTCCTACTGCTGCCTTTTTCATTGACTAGGTAGTTTGTGGGTACTGCTGTTTGGATCTTGACTGTGAGAAGGTGAAAGTTTTGGTCCTCAGCCCATTGGTACCATTAAGGGGGTGGTTTAGCCTTTAGGGTATGGGGGCTAGAAGGGAGACTTAGGACATCGGAAACATGATCTTAAAGGGTACTGTAGAATCCTACGTGCACATTCTCTCTCCCACCCCCCACTTCTCTCTCCTTTTCCTTCCTTTCCCTTTATTTAAAAGAAATACGTATAGGGGCGTTTTGCCTGCATGGCTATGTACCACATGTATGCAGTACTACCAGAGGCCAGAAGAGGGCACTGGCTTCTCTGGGATTGGAGTTAACAGCTGTGAGCTGCTGTGTGAGTGCTGAGAATCAGACCTGGGTCCTCGAGGAGATCAGTCAGTGATCCTAACTGCTGAGCCATCTCTCCATCCAATCCTCTCTCCTTTTCAATTTTCTATTATGAGGGAGTGTCACGCTCTTAACACAAGCCCCAAACCAATATGTACTGCGATCTCCAAAGTTTGAGTCCAATCTTCATAAATGGATCATCTCAGGTACTTGTTACAATACTGAGACGCTAACACAGTAGAGAAACAGCTCTCCCATGGGTAGAAGGGTTAAATTTTACAGAGATGCTCTGAGCTAACCACAGAAACCAGAGAGTCAGACCCAGCAGCCTCTGAGGGAGTCCATGAGGTCAAAAAGTCCTTCCAGGTGAAGGTCTGATCAGGCCTCATCAAGTTACTATGACCAGGAACAATGCTGGAGCCTCCAACAGAACTGACAGGAGGCAGCACTCCTAGGCCAGGACACTGGACATTAGGTAGTCCTCTTGTTTCCTACCAAGTCCTCATGCTCAGTGCTGTGAACTCATGCAGGAGCATTTCAGCAGAGTAAACCTTTGCCCTCTACTTTGGGGTCCAACGTATCCTCTTTATCAAGTGCAAGATAAGACTCCGCTCCAGTGTTCACCCATCCACTGTTTCTGCGATGTGCTTTTGCATTGCTGGTCTCGCCTCTCCTGGGAACAGCAACATCATAGCAAGGGAAGCATGAAGATCCACGCCAGCACCGGGAGGTAGGGTGTGGGGACACTGCAGCCAGATGTCCTCTGCGCATGCATGACGGCAAAGACAGCATTTGTGTGGTTGGTGGGCAACTCTACGTTGCAGATCATTCCTTCGCAGCAAGACCTGCACTCCTGTGTACGAGGTAGGAAGAGAAATGAGAGTGAAGAGCAGGGAGGAGGAAGGAACGAAACAAACAAAAGCAAAGACAGGTGCCGGAGTTGATAGTCCAGCCTGTGGGTACCCTTCCCCTCCCGAGCAAAGACTGCCCTGAGGGTCTGCATCCTACCCTTTTGAAGCATCTGTGTCAAACCCAAGCATAATGGAGGTGCAGGAGGGAAACTGAATTAAACTTCCCAGTTGTTAGATCTTGCTGGGTTTCTTAGGAAACAATGAAACCAAAGTGAAAGTCAGGAACCTTTTGGACTTGACTTTGGTTTTCTTTCTTAGTATTACTTTGTAAGCTGATAATGGTGACTTGCTGTTGTCTCTGACCTGAGTCCTATTATGACTGCGGTGGTGGTTAGCTTTAAAAAAAAAAAAAGAAAAAGAAAAAGAAAAAGTCTAGGTTCTTAAGAGTGCTTTCAAGGGAAGCAACCTTGATCGCAATAGGAATACATGCTTAGCCCAAACACATGACCTCATGAACAGATTTCCAGGCTCACACAGGTTTCCAGGCCAACGAGGCAGCAGAAAGGCAGTAACTCCAAACACAGCCCTCAGTGGCTGGCCAGCCAGCTGCCCAAGGGAAGTTTTTATTTTCCTTTTCAAATCTTACTATGTAACCCAGGCTGGCTTCACAATCATAATCCTCCCGCCTCAGCCTCTAAAATACTGGGATTACAGGCCTGAGGCACTGCGCTTAGCCTGAGGTACTTTCAAGAGATCTTGAGGTCCTAGACCTCTATGTGACATCCCATTTCACTCAGTCTAGGATGCTCCCTTCCAGCCTTGCCAACACACCTCGTCGTTGCTGGTCATACAGCCCTTGCCTAATCAGAATTGACAGCCACCGATGGCAGAGTCACTAGCTTACTTTCTAAAATCCTATTAAAACATATTGTCAAAGCATTTTCTCCCAAATTTTAGGATCTCTGCTTATAAGAGTACATTTTTGTTTGGGATGATAGAATGAGACTATTAAGAAGATTAGCTGATCCAATATTTTGCTACATTTATCTTACTCTCTTAGACTCTTTCTCCTCTGAGCAGAGATGCCAGCATTTCAACGGCAAAAGCCATGCCTATAAGCCATGCCTGTTTTCTCCTTTATATCTTACAGTTACCCTGGGAAGGGGTTGTGCTAATTTTTGGCCAGGAACAGAACACATCATCCAGAATCCAGCACTCCTTACTCTCTCAGAGATGGGTTATTCTTGAGCTTCTAGACTGGCTTCAGACTATTTATGCCAGTTCTGAAGCCCAGAAATTAGCTCTGGAGCCTGGAAATTAGTATTCATTCTTACTAACATTATTGCTTTTTGAAGATAGAATATTTTCAAGTGTCTGCTCTCTTCATTGGCACTGTAATGGAGTCTTTTTGTCAGAGTACAAATAAACCTAACCTTTTGCTCCTCCACCTGGGTTCTCCTAGGATGCATAACTTACCACCATCACCATGAAACCTGGGAATGTAACAAAATACACACACACATACACACACACACACACACACACACACACACAAAATCTTTACCGTGTGTTCCGAGTCTCGGCTGTGGCGGCAGCCAACAAAATGACATTCGTTTTTAGAGGCACACTTTTTAGTGATGGATGTACTTCTTCCATGGCTGGTGAAGTGATGAACTGTCAGACAATACTGTGTGTCTAGGAAAATTTAACAACAAAAAACCGGCAATTTTATTTTCCATATTGCTAAAGAGACCCCTCGACTATTGTGCCAGAAAAGACTATCATTCCGAATAATCTTCAGGCTTCTAGGCGACAAACTTAATAACAGCGAATGCTACAGTTTGTAGGTGGTATTTCTACAAAGACATCAGCTCCCAAAGCACACATGTGTTTTGAAAATGAATATAAATGGGGATCCAGTTCCTTTGGCATTAGCTGAAGCTGAGAAAAATGTGCAGTTGTCATCAATCCTTAGGCCTGCTAATCGAATATGCAAGTATTTATGTCCCTGGCCCTGCCCTTTTTTCCTCTGAAGCACATGTTTTGGGACTCTAAATTAAGACAAAAAACTGTGAGCACAAAAAAACAAAACAAAACAAAACAAAAAACAAAACAAAACAAAAAAAAAAAACATGTCTGGAAGCTTGGAGCCTCATTCAACGTTTGTTTCTTACATGCTACGTGGCAAATGGGTCTCCAGCTACACATCAGAACACCTTTCTTCCTCCTCTTGCTTATTCAGATTCTAAGCCTTCTAGCATGTTTGACTGTTCCTCATCAATGAATTACACTTTTCATGTCCTCTTTATGCCCTGTTTCCCACCCATGTGGGAAATGAGCTGTATACTTAGTTCATTTCTATAGTGTTATCCTCACTGCTTTACCCATCCACTTTATGACAGCATTCTCCTAAGAAAGTGGTCCATGTGACATTATAAGATATTCTGTTTTAGTTCCGTGTCTCCTTTTTGCTACCAAAGACCATGGATCCCATGCTTTTCACCATGGATCCCAATAGCAACTGACTGGGAGGAAATGGATCAAGATTGAGAAGACAGAGTTCCTGTCACAAGTCCCTATTAGATCCTTTAAGATCAATGTGCTTTTCAGTGAAGTGTTAATACAGTGGCATTTTGGTAACTTCAGTAATATTGACAGTGGCAAACACATTCACATTGTAGATTGGTAGTCAGCCTCTAACTTGTGCTCAATTATTCAATCCTCACCATGAGCCTTTGGAAGGCCATAGACAATATTAACATCCTTTTCTGTTGTTGTTGTTTTAGACAGCATCTCATTACATAGTCCTGGCTGGTCTGGAGCTCCCTATGCAGACCAGTCTCACCTCGAACTCAAACAGTGAACCTCTTGCCTCTGCTTCCTGAGTGTCGGGGTTAAAGGCCACCATCTTGTCCGTGGTCATACAGGTAGACGCGTTACATAGATGTAAGGTAGGATTCTAACCAAGGCAGGTTCCAAGGATTTGTGCTCTTCATCAGTACACTTGGCTGCCACTCAACAAAAACCAGACAAAAGTAGCCGACTTTTGGAGCCTGAAGGAAAAGGAGCCATTAAATGCTTTGGAGAAGGCATTTAAAGGTATACTCCAAACTCAGAATGATTGGAAACTGGTAGCTGTTGTGTTTATCTGGAGAACTGCATATACCACACACATGAAAGTAGCCTCTAACCAGTCAACACAAACGCTATTTTAAATAAAACAAACAAAAAAATCCATGTTGTCATGCCGTTACACAGAGACCTTGTCCTAACCACATGGACAGACCACAAGTGAGGCTGCATGGAGAAAGGGAAATCTGAGATGACGAAGAGCGGCAGCTCTAGGCCCACTTGCTGTGGATGAATGGCTGACTACCACTTCCCTAAATATCAGCAAAGGGAAGCGTAAGAAATGACACCTCAGTTGTAATTCCAGATGGTTAACATCTTTAAGGCTTTGCTAGCAGATGGTCAAAAATGAGCTCTCCAATAGTAATAAAAACTGCATGGTACTGGCATAGAAACAGAATGGCGAATCAATGGAACCGAATAGAAGACCCAGAAATAAACTCACACACCTACGGATCCTTGATTTTTGACAAAGAAGCCAAAACCATACAGTGGAAAAAAGATAGCATCTTCAACACATGGTGCTGGTCTAACTGGATGTCTACATGTAGAAAAATGCAAATAGATCCATATTTATCACCCTGCACAAAACTAAAGACCAAGTGGATCAAAGACCTCAACATAAAATCAGACATACTAAATCGGTTAGAAGAAAAAGTGGGGAAGAGCCTAGAACTCATTGGCACAGGAAACAACTTCCTGTACAGAACACCAACAGCACAGGCTCCAAGAACAAAAATCAATAAATGAGACCTCATTAAACTGAAAAGCTTCTGTAAAGCAAAGGACATTGTCATCAGAAAAAACAGCAGCCTACAGACTGGGAAAGGATCTTCACCAACTCTATATCTGACAGAGGGCTAATATCCAGAATATATAAAAGAACTAAAGAAGTTAAAAAGCAACAAATCAAGTAAGCCAATTAAAAAATGGAGTACAGATCTAAACAGAGAATTCTCAATAGAGGAATATCGAATGGCAGAGAAACACTTAAAGAAATGTTCAACATCATTATTCATCAGGGAAATGAAAATCAAAATGACCCTGAGATTTCACCTTACACCCATCAGAATGGCTAAGATCAAAACCTCAAGTGACAATGCATGCTGGAGAGGATGTGGAGAAAAGGGAACCCTCCTCCATTGCTGGTGGGAATGTAAACTTGTACAACCACTTTGGAAATCAATCTGGTGCTTTCTCAGACATTAAGGAATTGTGCTTCCACAAGATCCAGCTGTAGCACTCGTAGGTGTATACCCAAAAGATGCTCAAGTATACAACAAGGACATTTGCTCAACCAAGTTCATAGCAGCTTTATGTAATAACCAGGAGCTAGAAACAACCCAGATGCCCCTCAACTGAGGAATGGATACAGAAATTGTGGTACATTTACACAGTGGAATACTACTCAGCAATTAAAAACAAGGAAATCATGAAATTTGTAGGCAAATAATGGGAACTAGAGAAGATCATCCTGAATAAGGTATCCCAGAAGCATAAACACACACATGGTATATACTCACTTTTAAGTGGATATTAGACATATAATATAGGACAAACATACTAAAATCTGTACACCTAAAGAAGCTAATCAAGAAGGAGGATTCTGGGTAAGATGATCAATCCTCACTCAGAAAGGCTAACGGGACAGACATTGGAAAAGGGAGAAAACAGGGAACAGGGCAGGAGCCTACCACAGAGGCACAAAGGGCCTTTGAAAGATTCTATCCAGCAAGGTATCAAAGCAGATGCAGAGACTGATATCCAAACTTTGGGTGGAGTGCAGGGAATCTTTTGAAAAAAGCTGAAGATAGAAAGACCTGGAAGGAACAGGAGCTCCACAAGGAAAGCAACAGAACCAAAAAATCTGAGCACAGGGGTCTTTTCTGAGACTGATACTCCAACCAAGGACCATTCATGTATATAACCTAGATAACCTAGAACCCCTGCTCAGATATAGTCCATGGCAGCTCAGTGTCCAAGTAGGTTCCCTAGTAAGAACAGGGACTTTCTCTGACATGAACTCAGTGGCTGGCTCTTTCATCACCTCTCCCTGACTAGGGAGCAACCTTGCCAAGCCACAGAGGAAGACAATGCAGCCAGTCCTGATGAGACTTGATAGGCTAGGGATAGATGGAAGGGGAAGAGGACCTCCCCTATCAGTGGACTTGGAGAGGGCCATGGGAAGAGGTGAGGGAAGAAGGGTTAGGATTGGGAGGGAATGAGGGAGTGGGATACAAAACAAATAAACTGTAATTAATGTAAAAAAATAAATATTTAATTAAAAAAAAGAGCCCTCCTGCTGTGCCGGAAGGTGGTGTCATTCCTCACTTGGCCTCTCAGGTGGGCTTGGCAGAGCCAACTAAGCTGCCTGTGCTGTTTCTGACACTGTTTGGGGATGGGAAGCTAAGGTCTCCTGTTTGTGTTTATCTGTGGTTCAAAAGAGATGCTACCTAGGTTGGAAAGATAGCTCAGCACGTGTTGCTCTTGCGGGGAAGCTGGGTTCAATTCCCAGCACCCACATGGAAGCTAACAGGCATCTATTAACTCCAGGGGATCTAGTGTCCTCTGGCCTCCTTGGACACCAGCCATGCATATGGAGCATGGTCATACATACAAGCAAAATACTCATGCACATGAATTAATCTTTAAACAATTTTTAAATAAACAAAAGAGATGGTATCCTAAAGCCCAGAAGCAGATAAAAGGTTTTGGTTGATAAGCAACAAATTGGAGCATTATGCACAGAAACAGTATGCACAGACTTTGAGAGGCAATTCAAAGAGTAAAGGGAAGGCCAGTAAAAAGGGAAACTCTAAAGCTACTCTACTTCTACTTGATTTTCAGTGGAAATTTAAAGTCAACTGTTAAAGAATTATATCAACCATCTGAAATAAATTAGGAGACGTCATTATCAAACAACCCTAAAACATTAAAACAATTTAACCAGTCTCTCTCTGAGTGGATGTGAAGTCCACTCTATAAGACAGGACTTGTGCCTGGTACTGTTAACTGGGCCCAAACCCTGTGGCTAGCTAGGTCCTAGATCCTAGAGGAGAGCCATCTGCTATTCTGCTAAATGGACATAGTAATACATTGCCCCTAAGTTGTTGCCTTTATACCCACATATTAGCACATCTCTCAACCCCATCAAAGAACCTTATTTCTACAGGACAGATTGCCACAAGTGGTCAATGTGCAGAGGTAAGTTTGTGGAATGCTCAGTGCTCAATGGGACAGCCTTTACTCCCAAGGCTAAGGGATCACCATGGAGAAGAAGGGGACAGAAAGATTATAAGAGCCAAGGGGAATGAGTATCTGCGGTGAAACAGTTACTTGCCAGACGTGACAGGGCCATAGCATACATGAACTCACAGAAGCTACACAGAAGACCTTCCCAAGATCAAGCCAAGCAAAGCCCAGCACAGGCAAGGGAGGGATTCAATAACTCCTTCTCCTGGCAGAGGAGGCACTGGCAGTTGATGGCTGCTCAGTCAGTTGAGTCAGTTTTCTTCAGGATGTGGCCCCTGAGAGGATACTCATGAACTCATGACCAGTATGTTATCTTTTATCTAGCCCCACTGACTGGTCTTAGTTGGTCTAAAGGAAAAAAAACCTCAAAATTGGGGGAAAGTAGAGGTGTGTGTGTGTGTAGGGGAAGACAGATGGGAGAAATTGGCAGGGAATGAAAAGAGAGCAGATTTTATTAAAGTAAATTATATGCATATATGAAATTCTAAATAGAAAAAAAATCCTTTAAAACAATTAAGAAAAATTTTTGTGGAAACATGAAAGAAAATGCACACGATCACACATGTACAAGCATATAACAATTTAAGAAATGTAAAAGAACCTCAAGGAAAAAAGACTCTAATCCTTGCTTCTTCAAGGAAAGAGATGATGAAAACCATTGACCACATGGATGCTACGAGCATGAACACTTAGCTTAGCAGTGATTATTGGTAACATCATAGCCAGTAGGATTGTTTTTGGGTTTGTGTGTTGGGGGCTGGGGGGGGGGAAATCCTACAGATTTCCTATATCTGGAAAAAAATTAAGCCATAATTCTATAAATAATGTGGTATAGAAACTTCTAAACATTCACAGTAATAGATCCATACCAGCAGCTTCTAATTTGAATGCCTGTTCTGCCATTTGTTTTTCTTATGCCACTGCATCTAAAAACCTTAAAATCGGAACAGCCCAGTCTTATCGCAGCTCTCTGAGTTCTGAAGTCCTGTCAGCATCTTCTGTCAGTTTTACTCCCAAATTTGTATGAAAACATTCACTGTCCTCACTCTGTTTTTACCACGGGGAGTTCCAGTTCCCATCTTCCAACCAAAAGCAACAACAGTTCCCACTTGATAGTCTTTGACTCTGTCTTCAGCTCTCCAACAGTATCGTGATCTCACAATCAGTATCGTGTGTTCCAACTTCCATACTCTGTCAGAAAAAGAAACCTCTGCACGTCTTTGCACATGGGTCCCTCTCGGATCGTGTCTCCAACTCCCACTGTACCACTGTGGCCAGTGTTTCTTGTTCACTGAGGAGGCCACACCACCTACTTCCTCTGGAAGCCTTTGCACTTGAAATTTCCCTTTCACGCACACCTTTCCTGCAGAGCTCCGTCTGGCTTCCTTGTCTTGGCCCTTCAGGTCTTTGCTTTAAAGTATATTCAGAGAGGAGTTCCCATGGTTACCTAGTCAAAGGCATCCATTCATCTTTCAGCAAGTATTTACTGACTGCATATTAGGAGCCAGGCACTGGACTGGGCACTGGAGAGATGTCAGTAAACTACCCAGGATAATCAGGTGTTTGTTAGGAGAGTGAATGAGCTTCCCAGGTATCAGTGAATCTTGAGAGTAGAGTACAGAAACCTTTCCTTTCGTTAAGCCAGTAAGTATGACTTTCTAGGGTATCATCAAGCATCAACTAGCATTTCTGGAATTTTTTTTGAATGCCTTAGTCAACACTGTGGTTTCTTGATAAATACCTCTTAAGAAATTTTTCCTCATGATGCATACAACACCCATTTCCACGTTTTCTCAGGATAATCTGCTGTCTTGGATAGTCTTTCTCAAGAAATCCAGGACCCCTGTAGAATTCACTGGGCTGTGTTGGCATGCTAATCTATTATATATGACTCCTCCCTCCAGTGAAGGGAAGGACCTAAATAAAGAGAGGTCACAGAAGAGTCTGGAAGAGCCTCCCAAGCCCAGATACTCACCCTGTGGACACCACTTGTCTTCTGCCCATCGATTGCAATTATAATTATCCCCTGCATTTTCGCAAGTAAAACACTTGAAACTATTTGGGAACGGTGTGGCTTTAAAAAAAAAAATGAAGTAAGGTCACCCAAAGGTAAAATTTTCCAACATCAAAAATAGCACAGAATTAGCAAGTTTGTTAGATGAAGCAAAACAAACAAGACATCTTGTTTGGAATGCCCAAAAGTCGGCTCTAACCATCAGGCCTGAGCTTTATTTCATTTATTCCCTTCTAGTAAGTACTATGATCTTCCTTCCATTATAACGAAATGAAAATGGTTCCACAAGCTACTTAAAGATCCATGGTGTGATTCTATTACAATTTAATATTTTGAAATAAGAGCGGTTGAGGGAATGACCAAGAATGGTAATGATACTGTAGACTATACAACATATACATATGCAGACATACATATACACATATATATATGAAAGAGCTAGATGGAGACACAGAAGATGGAACATCTGAAGAATATAAAAAAAAAAAATGCAAAGTAGCCAGGCATGGTGGTACATGCCTTTAATCTCAGGGAGGCAGAGGCAGGTAGATCTCTGTGAGTTCAAGGCCAGCCTGGTCTACAAAGCAAGTCCAGGACTATACAGAAAAACCCTGTCTTGAAAATCCTAAAAGGGAAGGAAGAAAGGAAGGAAGGAAGGAAGGAAGGAAGGAAGGAAGGAAGGAAGGAAG